TACTATCAGCAGTTGCTAGTGTACAGTATTAAAGTCTCTCCAGTCGGCCAGCAAGTAATGGTAGATTCATGCTTGTTAAATTAATTTCTGGAAGCCTCCCCAGTCTGGCAACAGGTACAGGTTTTCAAAGTTTTTTTTTTTTACTGATGTTCCTTCTGTGACAGCCCTGAATTTTTGAAAATTTCTCCAGTTACATGCGGTTACTGGTGAATTCAGGCCAGATATGGAAACCCTGGACAGCTCTCCAGTTAGCCAAGCATCCTAGATTTCTTTTTTTTTTTTTTATACTGGTGTTGGCTCTGCATGAGGCCTGATGTCAGCAGTGACTACTGTTTGTATGCCAGTTCACATAGGACCTTCCTATTCAGGTCAGACAAATGTACTTGAGGTTTGCTCATGGATTTGTCTATCCAGAGCTGAGGCAGTTTTCAGCTGACCCTGTCTCTGGAGACTCACCTTTGTGAGTGGTTGTAGAAGACTATTGCTGTGTTGGGGATTCTTCCCTCTATTGTCTCGGGAACTGCCTGAGGCAGTATTGTCAGAAACAGTCTGTCATTAGCAAGCAACTGTGTGAAAGTGATTTTTTTTTCTTTTTCTGTTCTGTCTTAATACTAGCCCTATTAAAAGAAAAAATAAATGTGACATTTGTACTTTTTGCATTGGTTTCACAGATTTTTCTGTTTCCTTAAGATCCAAGGGGTTGTATATTACAGGGGCACTTTGTGTTTCTATTCTGACCTGTGCTTGCTAATATATATATCTTATGTTCTTTGCAAGTTGGCTAGATTAGGGAGCCAACAAATGGATGTCGTTTTGGTTCTGGATTGAAAACCTCTTGTTTTAGAAGCAATTGCTCTGCAGGACAATGTCTCTTTAGATCACTTCTAGATGCTATTTATTTAGGTCGCTACTGACGGCAAGAGCACTTACAGTCATGGCCGAAATTGTTGGCACCCTTGATATTTTTCCTGAAAATCAAGTATTTCACACAAAAAAGGTATTGCATTAACACATGTTTTGCTATACACATGTTTATTCCCTTTGTATGTATTGGAACAAATATATAAACACAGGCAGGCAGAAAAGCAAATATGACATAATGTCACACAAAACCCCAAAAATGGGCTGGACAAAAGTATTGGCACCCTTAACTTAATATTTGGTTGCACACCCTTTGGAAAACATAACTGAAATCAGTCGCTTCCTATAACCATCAATAAGCTTCTGACACCTCTCACCCGGAATTTTGGACCACTCTTCCTTTGCAAACAGCTCCAGGTCTCTCTTATTGGAAGGACACCTTTTCCCAACAGCAATTTTAAGATCTCTCCACAGGTGTTCAATGGGATTTAGATCTGGGCTCATTGCTGGCCACTTCAGAACTCTCCAGCGCTTCTTTGCCATCCATTTCTGAGTGCTTTTTGACGTATGTTTGGGGTCATTGTCCTGCTGGAAGACCCAGGATCTTGGACGCAAACCCAGCTTTCTGACACTGGGCCCTACAGTGCGACCCAAAATCCTTTGGTAATCCTCAGATTTCATGATGCCTTGCACACAGTCAAGGCACCCAGTGCCAGAGGCAGCAAAACAACCCCAAAACATCATTGAACCTCCACCATATTTTACCGTAGGTACTGTGTTTTGTTCTTTGTAGGCCTCATTCCGTTTTCGGTAAACAGTAGAATGATGTGCTTTACCGAAAAGCTCTATCTTGGTCTCATCTGTCCACAAGACGTTTTCCCAGAAGGCTTTTGGCTTACTCAAGTACATTTTGGCAAACTGTAGTCTTGCTTTTTTATGTCTCTGTGTCAGCAGTGGGGTCCTCCTGGGTCTCCTGCCATAGCGTTTCATTTCATTTAAATGTCGACGGATAGTTCGCGCTGACACTGATGCTCCCTGAGCCTGCAGGACAGCTTGAATGTCTTTGGAACATGTTTGGGGCTGCTTATCCACCATCCGGACTATTCTGCGTTGCAATCTTTCATCAATTTTCCTCATCCGTCCACGACCAGGGAGATTAGCTACAGTGCCATGGGTTGCAAACTTCTTGATAATGTTGCGCACTGTGGACAAAGGCAAATCTAGTTCTCTGGAGATGGACTTGTAACCTTGAGATTGTTGATATTTTGCCACAATTTTGGTTCTCAGGTCCTCAGACAGTTCTCGTCTCCTCTTTCTGTTGTCCATGCTTAGTGTGGCACAGACAGACACACAATGCAAAGGTTAAGTGAACGTCTCTCCTTTTTATCTGCTTTCAGGTGTGATTTCTATATTGCCCACACCTGTTACTTGCCCCAGGTGAGTTTACAGGAGCATCACATGCTTGTAACATTCTTATTTATCCGCAGTTGTGAAAGGGTGCCAATACTTTTGTCCAGCCCATTTTTGGAGGTTTGTGTGACATTATGTCGAATTTGCTTTCTTTCCTCCCTTTTTTTGTTTTGTCCCAATACACACAAAGGGAATAAACATGTGTATAGCAAAACATGTGTTAATGCAATACGTTTCGTGAGAAATACATGATTTCCTGGAGAAATATCAAGGGTGCCAACAATTTCGGCCATGACTGTATCTTCCCCAGATGAAGAAGCCTAAAAAATAGACTGCTAAGTCTTCCCCTTTCTGAATGTAGAGAAATGTCCCTTTTGTTTCTCAGCTTCCTTGTAGAGATCCTGCAAGCCAGGTTCCCTTTGTGCCCACAATGTCTGGCACTCAGTCTGTCAATTCCTCAAACATGCATTGCATGCACGTGAATCCCCAATTTCCAAAGTGAGGGATGCCTGAACAACTTGCATCTCTGATGCTTGGGTGCGAGAAGTGGTACCTAAGGCTACAAACTGGAGTTTTGCTACCTTGACCCCTCCACATTTTCATACTGCTTGTGTTAATTCACAGATTGGCAGATCTACATTTGGAACATTTTCAGGGTGTAGTTTTCTTCCATTTTTTTCATGATTTTTATACACAAAGTGGGTATTTACCCCATCTTGGATTTCAAGTTTGTAAAAATTAAATGCTGATATTCCACATGGAATACACTATATCTCTCATTGCCTTCCTTCCCTAGGGAAACGTTTTGATTTCTGTGGTTATAAAGAATGCATACCTGTATACATCGTTCCAGCACACCTATGTTTCCTATGTTTTGTTGTGGATTCCCTACATTACCCCAGTACAAATCATTAGTAATCGTCATCTTAAATATACAGTTCAATTTTGGGTACCTGTTCACAAAAAAAGGAGTTATTCACTTTCAAGTCATTACAGAGGGCACCGTTTATGGCTGGAGGAAAAGAGATGGTAACCTCTATATGTGGAAAGGGTTCTTCAGTGTGGGCTGTTAGCTCTGAAAATGTGGAATAGACTCCTTCAAGAACTAGCTCTGGCCAGCTCAGTAGATTGTTTCAAAAAGGAACTGGATGCATTCCTAAATGGATATTATTGGTAATAACACCAGATATTGTTGATCCAGGGAATATCTGAATTCTGCCTGTGGGGGTCAGGAAAGATATTTTCCCCTGCTGAAGTACATTGGACCACACTTCATAGGGTTATTGCCTTCCTCTGGATCAGCTGTTGGTATAGGATTGTGTATATGGTGGTTTTCTATGTATTTTTTTTTTTTTGTTCTGTTGGTTGAACTTGATGGACTTGTGTCTTTTTTTTTTCAGTTTGGCTATGTGACTATGTAAGAATTTCTATACTCACAGTATAAAAACTTTTTCTTGTAGTCCATTGAGAAACACAGGAGTTCATAGACTGTCGAGTTACAATGCAGCCTATAGGAAAAATGGACATTAGCAACAAAAAAAAAGCCATTGGCAGGCACAGGATAGCCCCATCCACAACCATCAGTTTTGTATCAAAGTAGTACTGAGAGCATGAGATAAACACAGAATACAATAAACACAGAAGGGAGAGGAACCTGTCCCCCTCAATGGACCCCAAGAAAATAATTTTACAGTGAGTACAAAAATCCTGTTTTTCAATCTTCTTCAATTTGTAGCTATCACTGGAAGACATGTTAATTATGCCAGAAGTATGAACAGGAGCCAGGCGCTGTGTAGTTTTGTGATAAAAGTAATACACCTTTTATGGAGGTGTGCCTTTAATAATTCATATGGTAAAAAATAGATAACCAGCCTGTGGCTTTAAGAAGCCAGGTTCCAAGATGGACAGCCCGTCCGCTCAGAGGGAAGCAGTGGAGAGTAGAATGTCTGTCAGTGCAGGGACCACGTGTATTCGATGTCCTAGCGTCCCGGATGACGTCACCACGATGTGGAGAGACGGAGGGGAGGAACTGTTGCTGGAGCCGCAGCTTTAGAAGGAAGAGGCCGGTTGCCAGGACAACATGTTTCGCGCGCATGCGCTTTATCAAGTCCCGTTCTTCTAATTATGCCAGAAGGCACTTTTTCAGGTGCTTCTTTTTATGGGGTATACTCTATCCCTATCTCCTAAAATATGATCCTGTCAGGGGTGTGTCATGAAATCAGTGGACCTGTGTGCAAGATCAAAAGTGGGCCCTGGTCAGTGATAAAGAAAAATGCAGCACGCAAAGAGCTGTGGTGAAGACTGGGTGTGGTTTGAATTGCGCAAAATATTGGGTGTGGTTAGAGTCTGAACTGATTTACATAGGGCAGAATGTGGTAATGTCAAACATCTAGGGGAGAAGAGAGCAGAGATATACTTACCTGATACTCCGATCCTCCCAGGACAAGACCGGTCCGGTACCCCCATGCTCCAGTGGTCTTGAATAGTTAATTGTTCCTGATGTCATTGCGCTCAGAGCAGGCTTCATAGACCAGGAACAGTCCACAACTGGACTGTTGGGGAGCACCTTTTTCTGAAGGATCAGGTGAGTATGAGCTTTCTGCTCACCCCTAAACAAAACGTGCAGTTGATCCATGCAGTGTAGGCACGGCTGCACTGCATTGAAAATAAATTTTTTTTGCTCAGAAATAGGCTTTGAAGTGTTACTAAACCCAGGACTCTACATCTGAACTCTATCTGTTCTCCCACAGTACACAGAACATGGAAATGCAATCATCATCAGTTAGAGCAGTCTTGTGACTTCTATTAGTATTAAGCAGAGCACTGGTTAAAGCTTGTATAAGGCTTTTTTTATGCTCTAGGAGTACACAGAACCCCTTACCTCTGTCTGAACAGTGCTGATTGGCCCTGTGCTGATCAGATTCACTGTCCGAAGAAAAAAAAAAAACCTCTCTAGCAATACACACCAAACTGAGCATTTGCAGAGTGTCTCCACATGATATGTTTTATCAGGAGATAAAAGGGGGGCACTGGAAGAAAGGGAGGATCAGGAGTTAGGATCAAACAGCATTTTTACACAGTGCAGAGGATTAACCTCTTAGTATAACAAGCATGCTTTACTTCATATGCAGACTGATTTTACTGTTGTGGGTTTAGTAACACTTTAAGGATTTGTAACTAGATCTAAGTCCTAACTAAATGACATTTGGGGTTCTAAAGTATTGTGTATCTTAAACATATTCTCTGTTTAAAAAAACTACTGGTTTTATCTTTGCTTCATCCTTTGTTGCGTCTCAGTGTTGTTGATCTCCTGCAGTCTCTTTGCATCCACTTTGTGACTACAAGCACTCCAGTGAGTGCTGCATGACATTTCTCACACCATGTTTCCTAATGGTAACAACGGTGGGCCATGGCTGGACTACTGTCTGTGTATTGAAACACCCACTCCTGTAGTCTCCATTGGAAAACTGGGTGACATGGGCAGAGAGTTGTCATTATCATAGGAAATTCCTAGCACTGATCTTCATTGAATGAACACCTGGCATAATTTTAATGAACACTGCACTATGAAATATATTGTTAATGACTTTTGAAATTATATTACCATGCTAAAGCTTATATGAGGTTTTAGTAAAGGGATTTACATATACTTTAGCTGTTAGGGTGATTTGGTAAATAGATGTGGAAATGTTATTGTGCTATTTTTTTTTCATTATTTTTACTAGTTATTATATATTATACACAATAAAAGAGCATTGTATAAAATAAAATATAACTATAAAATATTAAACAAAAACCTTGGAATTATTAAGCAGCAAGCATGTAAAATATGAAAATCAATGAAAACTACTTTCTGGTTCACATTACAATAATAAATCAAAATGTGTGTTTATTGAAACTATACTAGAGCTTCCCTTTAAAACACAATGTAGAGCTCACTGACATACACTGGCTAATCACAAACCAACTCTTCACAGTTTATTTTGCTGGCACTAATGAAAGATTGTTTTTTCACCAATTTATTTATATACATAAAAATAGCGCCAATCACCCCAGCCCCTTCTTTAGTGGATCTGATCTAAAATGCCTACCATGACTATCAAGTCGATTATTGTAGGCCAATTAAACAGAACACTTAGGGGTCTGTTTATAAAACATTTCTGTGCAAATGTATCAGCATTTGTGCAAAAGTTGCAAATAATACTCTTGTGTGTCTCATCTAATATCCTAAATCCTAAGTGAACTTGTCTATACCTGGCCTTAAATGATGTGATTTTCTTTCCTGCAACCTGCAATAAATATTACAGGTACTTATATAGCGCTGTCAATTTGCACAGTGCTTTACATATATTGTATATTCCATCAGCCCCTTCCCTTAAGGTGCTTACAATCTAAAGTTCTGAACTCAAATTCATGCACACATATACTAGGGCCAATAAATGACCAGAATGTCTTTTGAATGTTGGAAGAAACCAGAGTACCTGGAGGAAACCCACTCAGGCATAGGGAGAACATGCAAACTCCAGGCAAGTAGTGTTGTGGGTTGGGATTCGAACCGACAACCGTAGTGCTGCCAGGCAGAAGTGCTAATCACATAGACACTGTGCTGCCCAAAATTGCTTGATTCCCCCATCAACACTGATAGGGGATTTCCTCTTGCAGAGCTATTGTGTTTTCCAGGCGTGTGGGGAGCCGTTCCTGCAGGGAGAACTCAGTGGTTATTGCTAGAGGCTATAGCCGTTGGCAATAATCACATGCAAAATCCGACAGGCTGGTTTTACCCAAGTCGTACAACAATCAAGTTGGGTACAATCAGCCTGCCCATAGGTGGTTCAGCTAAGATTCAAACCATCTCTGGCCAGCTTTAGAACATTTGACCAGAAGAGAAAATAGCCTAAAACAATAGCCTATGAACTTTCAAACGAAATAGCCTAAAACAATAGCCTAAGAACATTCAACCAAAATAGCCTAAAACAATAGCCTAAGAACATGCAACCAAAATAGGCTAGAATAAGAGCCTAAGAACATTCAGCCAGAAGAGAAAATAGCTTGAATTAATAGTCAATTTTTTTTTTACCAAAAATAGCCTTACAACAATAGCCTAAGAACATTTGAGCAGAAGAGAAAATCTCTTAAAGAACATAAAATTTTGCCCCAGCAGCCACATCCTTTTACATTGTGCATAAATCCCTAAAACCATTGAATTATTGCTGGGTAATTTTCACAGGACAAATGCAGGGTGTATACCTGTAAGATTTTTTTTTTAAGAAATAAATTTGTTGGAGAAAAGCAGTACAATCATGGAAGCATAGTTGTGATGTAGTCAGTGTCTGGTTGCTATCGAGCCCAAGACTTTGGTGCTGCAAGGGAGTAGAGCTGCCCCTGTTCTGCTGCTCTGCTCTGGAAGATGATTAATTACTGTCAATTGGAACACTTTGCACATTACTCTTTGCACTCATTACACAAAGGCCATTGTTATGGCAAAAAAAGGTCCAGCTCTATGGAATACTTGAGAAAATATTGTATTATCAGAGAGGGAAATGAATACTGTTAATTCATTTTGAATTTTAAATATATTTAAGCTTTCCCCTTGCTGGGGTTGTTCCTAATTTAAAGCAGTTGTGCATTTGAGGATCAGGCTTTCACTTGGTAAAACATGAGTCTGTGATAGTTTGAAATATATAATATCGCTTTGTATCAATATGGCAGTTATTTTCCATACGATAGGACTTCTGGATCAGCCTGCTCAAGGGTATGTTTGCAATTATTGTTAACTATCAGTAGATGCATATATATGCATGGCAAAAAGAATTAAGTGGCAACATGAATAAATGTTAATTATTTAGCGTTTTTAATGATATTATTGAAATAAACAAAGAGAGGCATCCAACACTTTCTGTACAGAATTAGCCGTCTTTTCTCCATGTTCACGCTAAGAATGCCACCTAGTGGTCCTGAGAAGCATGCCACTCTTTCTAAAAGCTTCTCCATTCTTACTGTAACAACCCATATCCACTCTGGTTAGTCCACTTAAATATTTAGGATTTGTTTGCCGTTATTAATCCTAACTGCTTGGTAATCAGCAGTTGACCTTCAATATCTGCAGGTACTAAGTTTAAAAAAAACATAACCTGATTTTTCATACTTGACTTTCTGGTGCTCGATACTAAATAAAATACTTTTATGAGCTGCCTATTTACAATTTGAAGTGAGACCATACCTAATGAGAGCAGTTTATTCCTGTGAATGAGATGTACAGAGGCAACAACCAATTGGGTACTTTATTTAACTCTAATTAAAATAAAAATTACCTATCTTAGTGGATATTTTGTTTACTTTACGCTAGTGCTTAAGCTATATTTAATAACACATGTACATATGTGCTAGTTTCTGCTGTAATATGACATGAAATATAAATTGCTCATCCAGCAGACTAGTGAGAACATAATATACATATGTACATACTTAAATGTCAAGTGAAGCAGTGGAGTTCAGGAGAGGAGCAGGTGCAAGCAAAGCCTAGTGAAAAAAATGCCATTAATAAAGTATGTACAGCACTTCAAGAGACTACACAATTATCTTACATGAAATAATTAAAACTAATCATGGCATTCTATAGAAAAAAAACAAAATGTGCAGTTCAATAAAAAGAGAAGATTAAGGATGATGAGGATTTTATTGCTGCACTGCCTAAAGAAACATCCTTTTTTTGTAAATAAAAGTAACATTAAAGCTGAAGTTTGTGTATGACTTGTATTGTATAAAACCTGAGTGATCTTCATGAAAGCAGCTAACAGTGATGGCAGCAGTCTTCTAGGTCCAGTGCTGAGCGGCTGTTCTTCTGCATTGTTACATAGTCCCGATGAAAAAAAGGCACAAGCCCCAATTCACCTCACACCTACTGGATTTTTAGGGTGTCCCTAGAGCAGTCAACCACCCCATTAGGATTACATCTAGGGTACCCCTTTCCCCTCTCCTCTCCTCCCCTTCTTTCCTACCCTTGTTTCTTCTTTGGAATTTTGGTGCTGGTTTCTTCCTCCTTTTCTCACTCTTTTTTTTTCGTCTACCAGCCCTATATCTTTTTTATTAGCCCAAGAAAACAGCGCTGTGAAAGTATGATAAAATCAATGTTCACCTCCCAAGGAGGTTTACCTTTACTGATCCTTTGGTAGGATGACATGCTGTGTAGTCTGTCCCAGGATCGTGTGGTGGACCGTCTGCTCCCCTGCGCCCCCGAGCTGGGAGAGAAGGCTGTTCCACAGTGTGTATTTGAGCTGGCTGGAGATCGCGGCGCTCCGGAAGTGATGTCAACTGCGACCGGGATGAGAGCGGAAGCAGAGTCCTGGACGTGAGACGCAAGCTTGGCTGATAACCGCAACAACGCGTTTCGCGTGCATGTGCTTTGTCAAGTCTAAAGAATATACGGTTACCAGCTTTATTTATATGAATTGAAAGAACAAGAAGGCTGGGCAGTGATGGAAGGGGGAGGGAAGAAGAGGTGGAGCGGACAATTCCCCTGCATAGCACCTTTACAAATAACTAAATTCCATGTCACAGTATATAAAAAAAATCTTAAATAGACCTTGTCTGCAAATACTACAGGACTTTTTTAAAAAAAATGCTAAAAAACTGAACAGTGTATTATGAGACTAGAAACAATAATGAAAAGTCGTAACATTAAAATTGAGCCACTTACTACTGATGCTCATCAACAAGGGACTATGAAGTGAGTCACAAAACACCATTAAAGATAATCGCCTACAAATAAATAAATATAAAAATGAAAAATTAAATAATTGTGGAAATCAATCAAACAGATGAATAATTGTAGATATTAATCAAACATCAAAACTAAAAATACTTAATGAATCCTTGATGAAAAACATTATTAGACAATACTGTGGATCTCCAGGTCTTCATTCAGTCCATTTGGGGCCATTGAATCTAATTTAAAAATCCAAAAAGTCTCCCTTTTACATAAAAGAGAAAATCTTTTGTTGTCTGTCAAGGATCTTTTTTCAACGTGCTCAAACACCATAATCTCCCAACACCCAAAATCTTTGTTGTGGGTATGAAGGAAATGTCAGGGGACAC